GCGGCCTGTGTGGCGTATGTGTGACTTCTGACCACTCTGGCTTCCCTGGCTCCACACACAGCACGTCCTCCGCCTGGAACACCCTCCGCCTCGACTTTGGGCACAACCCACCCCCTCCTCTTAGGACCTCCTGCGGCAAGGATGGCGTCCGTGCAAAGCTCAGCTGTTGGAAAATGGATGTAATTCATGTGAAGATACTGGTTAACACCCTGCTAGTTTATGTTTCTTTTAAAAAACGGTACGAGCTTTTTTACCTAGACTATTTTGTTTCCTTTGCATTTTCACTGTATTGGAGGGGTTTGCTTGCTCTGCGTTTCCGCCCTGGGAGTGAAGCCAGTCGGCGGTGCCTCAGAGTCATCCGAGAGGGCGGGAAGAGAGGCCTGTGGGGGGCGTAGGACTCCCTTGTTGCAAAGAAGAGCATGGAGCCCAGGGAAGGGAGGAGACTCCCCCAAGATGATATAGACTTTAGAGGTGGGGCCTGTCCCCCTGACCCCTACGCCAGGCTCCTACATCGTTACGAAGATGTTTTGTTCCATAAATACCTACCTACTGATAGACTGTTGCCATGAGAAGCATTTTGTAAAAACCAGGTCAGGTCGCCAGCACCGATACTGTTCACGCGTTTCACAGGTGCTCAAGCTTTATAGCGTCGTAGGATCCTTTGAGGATTCAAGCTGCCTTTGAATCACGAGCCACACTGTCTCTGCATCAGACAGCTAGATCAAGGAGTGGGTCCTTCGGGCTCTCTCGCCTGGAACCTCTTCCTTCAGTCTGGAATCTCACTCTTTTGAATCAAAGAAGCTTCCTGGAAATAACCCGGCCATATGGAGAGACCACAGGGCCCAGGGCCAGGACCACTGGATTCCAGTCTGGGCCCCGCAGGGTAGTGGTCAGGGGACCTGGACAGAATGGTTCTCGACGTTCCCACTCGTTAACGGAGCCCACCTGTGTGGCTGATGATTGTGAGAACTATAGCATACGATACAGGAACATGCTTGGGAAAGAACTAAATATTCATTCAACAACTGCGTCTTCGACGTCTACCATAGTTCAGGTTCTTTGTCCAGCACAGGAATAAAGCACAAATGCGACATTGCCCTTGAGGAAGTCATGGTCCAGTGGGGAGGAGACTTGACCATGACCACATCTTCTCTGAGGCCGAGCAAGGGGCGCTCTGGGAGAGGGAACAGCGCCTGTCCCACATTTACAGAGACCAAGTCCGAGAGCCTTCCTGGAGGAGATGGCATTTAGGGGATGACAGTTTCACACCACAGCCCCCCGCGCCCTCACTGGCCACCATTTATTCAGTATTCACACCTCTGAGGATTCTGCTGGGCCATTGACAGACATTAGTTCATGTACGCAATCCAGAAGGTCAAGGTTGTTATACTCATTGTACATATGATAAAACAGAAGCCCAGAGAAGTTTTTAGAAGAGAAATTTTTAAAAGGTCACTAAGCTGGTAAACCTATAGCACCTGGTCTTCGTGCCATAGCCTCACTGTGCTGTGTGAGCCCACTCACTGTACAGGCTGAGACTGACGGAGGAAGCCACTGAGGGCCAGCGTCAGCGAGCGGGAAGGAAGACTGTCCTAACAGCCGTCTGAGAGTGAGATGCGCTGACGGGGGGGCGGGGGGGGAGCTCTGGGCACAGAAGTGTCAGGAGACAGGCTGTGACGTAGCCAAGGCATCGCGGAAGGCACTCCCACGTGGAGGCAGAGGAGAAGTAGGTAAGCTAACCATCTCTAAGGATACCGTTGTCAAAGATTAAGTCCTGTTATCTATGACGATGTTCCTTTGCACGGTTTTAGATGCTCTGTAGGGGCTGGGAAAGCTCAGTGGGCTCGCGCCCAGACCAAAGGCCCCGCTTGCTTGGTGGTGAGCCATTGGGAAGAGGGCAGTACAGGGGCCTGATGGAGCTGTTAACAAACTGGCCCTAAAGCCATACGGCTAGGGATGCTTTCCATTACAAAGGCAAGAGCTGACTCCAGCACCGAAGCAGAGAGAATTTATAGGAAGGAGTTTAAGAATAAAGCTGACGCTGGAAAGCCAGACTTGGAAAACAAACAGTAACAGAGTAGCCCTCGAGGGTAGACAACTGGCTGTTTGCAAGAATCCTCTTCCTCGGTCCCATGGTAGCGCCGCCGTACCCCCCACCCCCACCCTGGCATCGCCCAGTCCACGTCTCGGTCCTGGGTGGGAGTCGCTGCTGCCTGAGTCTGGGTTCCCTGCGGCTGCCCTGGCTGCCAGGCCACAAAGGGAGCATCTGCCTGTGTCCCGCTGGGGTGGGAGAAGACTTGTCATCTTGGAACGATGGAGGGACACACTCCTCCACCGTGTCCCAGTTCCATCTAATCACAGGGTTGGATGCTGAGCGTCCCCCAAAGTGGACAAATGCCTGCTGCACTGGGAGAGCACAGATCGTGGACATGAACTCGGCTCCCAGGCTGGAGGAGGAGACAGTGTCGTCCTGACCACTGCTGTCTGCCGCTCACTCCAGCCCTGTGAGCTGCACACGGTCCCCGCCACTCATAGAGGATGCAGCATAGAACAATGAGGGACAGAAAAACAGCAGTGTTGCATTTTGAGCTGCTATTATGTGTCAGAACCTATGCTAAATTAAATTGGTTACACGTGTTGTGTCATTTACTCCTCACAACGTTGTCCTGAATTATCAATGGACGGAAGCCCGTGAGGGCATCCTCTGTCTCCTGTTCGACTGTGTGTCCGGAGGGCGGGGCTGTCAGACTGCCTGTGCGCCAGTCTGGACGTCCCCTCCTCTTGCAAGCAAGCTGTTCATGACTTCTCTGAGCTTCAGTTTCCACATCTGCAAAATGGGACTAATAATAGAGCTGGCCTCATAAGGTCAACTTAGGTAAAGCATTTTGTACTAGTAAAGTACTTAATTCTCAAGGCAACGTTCATGTCAGCAGATGCTCGATTGTGTTCCCTCGATGGTGACAGTGTTGTTGTAACGTGGATGAAGGGCTGTCTCTGGTCTCACTGCATCAGTTAGAAGGCAACGTCAGCAGTTGGTAGCTCTAAACACAGCAACGTGAAGACAAAAGTGCTCTTCGCCGGGCATTCAAGGCCCTTCCCCTCCATCTCCCTCCACAGCTTCGCCAGCAGCACCCACTCACTACATACTCTGTGATTCAGTCAAACCAGATTGTCCGCCACTCCCCCAACATCCTAGGTGGCTTCACAGTCCCTTTCCTTGCTTATCCTGTTCCTTCTGCCCCCAACACCCAGAAAAAGTCTGTGCATTCAGCACGGCCCAACTCAGATGGTTTCCCCTCGACGAAGCCTTTTCCCATGTGTCCCCCAAACATTCATTCTTCTCCCACAGGATCCCCACCACGCTTGTTCTTAGTCATGGGAAGAAATCGTTGTTATTTACCCAGCATCCCCACCCCAACCATCTTGAAGGAGAGGTGGGTCCCCAGTAGAGTCCTGTATTTTTCTGAGTAGGGTGCTAGGTGGGGATGCAAGTTGCATAAGCCGAGAGGTGACACAATTGTATTGCTTAGGAAGCAGGGGAGCATGGGAGATAAGCTGGGGGGTAAAATAGCGGGACAGAGGAATAGAGAAGAAAAAGGGGGACCGTTTGGGCAGAGAAAGCGATGATGGCCATGATCTGTTTTGAATATGATTAAAAGTCCGCCCAAAGCAGAATTTTGTAAGGCACAGGCGAATCTTGATCAGGAGAGCAGGGTGGACCAGGGCGGAGACGTTCTGGGGACAGAAGGAGGCTGGATCGGAGAAAGGGAGGCGATTTGAAGTGGGGGCAAGCACAGTGTTCCTGAAGGCTGGACCTCAGCCGGCGCTGTGCAGGCCCCGCCGGTGGAGGCACGGGGACAGAGACCGGGGGGAGGCACTCTCCCAAGTACGAGCAGGGCTTTGAGCAGATCTGAAAGGAGGGAGAGGGAGAGGAGGAGAACCAGGAGTCGCGGTCGCCCCGGTGAAGGTCTTTACTGTGCCCACGGGAAGGTATGGAGAAGGTGGGCAGGTAGCTGTCACTGAGCAGTGACATTCCATCGAAGATGTGAAATGAGTGAGGATGAGTCACCCAGCTGCCTGGAGGAGGAGAGGCCCAGGCAGAAGGACAGCTGTACAAAAGCCCCGAGACAGGACGAGCCTGGCGTGTTGGGGGAACGGGAGGAGGCGGGGCCTGGCCCAGAGGCAGCACGAGGGGCTGTGGCGGGAGCTGCTCGGAGAGGTCAGCCGGGAAGGACCACCGGTGGCTGGAGCTTGCTGCAAGGACTTCGACTTGGCTCTGTATCTAACAGGCAACCATTTGAACAGAGAAGGGACACAATCTGACTTATGTTTTAAGAGGATCACACTGCCCTGGCCGGTTTGGCTCCGCGATTGGAGCGTTGGCCTGTGGCGGACCAGAGAGTCCCAGGTTCGGTTCCCAGTAGGGGCACATACCAAAAAAAAAGAGGATCACACTGGCTGTTGTGTGGAAAATGGGGGTGGGGTGGGGTGGTAATAGGGTTAAAGGTGAAATGGGAGGATTCAAGTGTGGAAACAAGGAGACCAGACAGTGCGAAACTCGAGACCTTGGTCCAAACTCATGGTGACAGCCGTGCAGGCAGGGAAGGCACAGGGCTCGGAGTGCACCTTGAAAGCGGAGGTGGCGGGTAGTGGGGAAGAGGGCACCGTGGCTCCGGCCTGGGCACTGCCTTCTGCCGCCCTGGAGGAGTTGACGTGTCCGGGCCTCGGCGCGTGGACGCTGAAGTACGGCCGCCACAGAGATAGTTTGAACCTCTCTGTGACTCAGCTTCTTCTTATGTAAAGCGATAATTATAACTGTGGTGACTCCACAGGAACATTGAAAGCACCATTGAATTAATACATGTGAAATGCTTAAAAGCGTCTCTGGCAAAAAAAATAAATGCCAGGCGAGCGACATGACTGTCCTGCTGATGTGTTTTGGTGAGTGAGAAGCTTGGCTTGTTCTGTCTAAACTGACTCTGGCTTTGGGGTCTGCCTAGGTGCTCTCTGATGGGGTTCGACCTGAACCGTCACTGGCTGGATCCCTCTCCGTGGGCCCACCCCACCCTGCACGGGGTGAAACAGCTCATCATTCAGATGCACAACGACCCAGTGAGTAACCCACCCCCCGGCAGCGCCTGGTCCTGCAGCTCGATTTGGGAAGAGCAGAGTTGCCCTGGGAAGTTCACTAGGAGTGCACGTTAGGGATGCAGGGTCAACTCCAGGGAGGGGCCGGGCCTGCGTATCTCTGCTCTGACCCGGACAGACCCACTGTTCCCCCACTGCTCACAGACACCGGGCTCGGTGGTGGAGGGCCCTGGGATGAGGAGACATACCGGAGCGATCCCCATTTGTCAGGGCTCTTTGGTTACAATCAAAAGAAATACAACTTGATCTAGTTTAAGCAAAATAGACAGTTTATCAGAAGAACACTGGAGTATCTCACATAACTGAAGACTGTAGACTGGCCGCCTCCACCTGTAGGGAGCCGATGCCAAATGTCACACCTGGGGCTCCTACCACGGCAGAGGGACTCACTCTCATTTTCTAGTTCCAGTTCCTACATGACTATGATTGGCCTAGCTTGGAGAACATGGCCACCTCTGGGCAGGTCAACCCTGACCCACGAGGCAAGGATTTGTGAGGTCAGGACAACCTCTCTGGGAGCACAGGGCGGGACTGGGGGTGTGGAGGCAGTGGCGAGCCTGCTCCCAGAGAAGAGGGCCTGCTAGTCCAGGGCGAGGGGGCAGCGGGGCTCCACACTGAGTGTGCTCACAGGGACGAGGTTTCGTAAGAAATAGAGGACGTCGGGGTTTCATAACTTAGAGAAAGGAGGCAGACCTCGACTGTTCTATCTCTGAAGGGCTGTTGGAGAAAACAGGACAGACATCTTCTAGGTGGAGGCCCAAGGCCCAAGTAAGACCTATAGAAAAACAGAACTTTTCAATAACTAGGCTGCCTGTGGATTAAATGGGTGTGCGAGCTATGAACTTGAAGCCAAACATTCAACTTGAGGGTAAATGACACCGTCTAAAAGCAGTTTATAGAGGAGACTCCATTGTTTGGAAGACACTGTAGTGAGGTTACATTGGAATCTCTTCCAACTGTGACTGTGATTTTGTGACTCCTGACTGCCACCAGGTGACAGGCAGTGAATGCTAAGACAGCAAAGGCCTCAGGGTTGGGGTGTTCCAGAGATGCATCTATGTAGCTCTTTGAAGATGCCCATAAAATATCCTAAATTCAAGTGCAACTTTATATTGATCGCCCCTCACAAACACTGCTCCGTTGTGGAGGTCTCATGGGAGACAGAGAAGTGCATTAAAAACAAATGCAGGCATTAGAGCAAGGGTCAGTGAAAAACTACATCCTGAGGTGCAGCGTGTCAACTCAGCTGCTGTCGTGACCCCCTGTGCACTTGGCTTCCCATGTCCCGTTAGCCCACCTGCGGCATCCGCGCGAGGGCGGCCGTAGCGCAGGGTACGTGCCTCCTTCTCCAGCTCTTCCTTCCCTGTCTGCACAACCACGTGCTGTGGTCATTCTGGACTCTTGACGCCGTCCTGCTCGGCTGTCCTGGCAGAGAGAAGCCGCTTCTGAATTTCTCAGGAAGCGTCTTGTCCGGCCTGCCGGCCTCTGGGTCGCTGACCGCCGTCTCCCTGCAGAATCACGGTGCTTTCTTCCTCTGCCGCCTCTTCGAAAGAACTGCTCCTACGTGCTTTTTTCTGACCTGGCTGATAGCACATATTCAGTAACTATCTGTTGAGTTGAGTTGGGTTGAGCATGGCAGGTCCTGTTACGCCACACGCACTGTGGTTTATAGATACAGAACAGTTGTTCACAGGGGTCAGAGGGGCGTGATCAAAGAAAAGGCCTGGGCAGGAGGAGTGGCGGACCGGGGGCCACACGACCAAGTGGGGCTTCAGGAGAACCCCGGGGTGAGCACTGGGGAGGAGGGTGTGGGGAGAGCCGAGGGAGGGCTCGGCCTGCCGTTGCCAGCACGCACGGGAATGCATGGGTCTCCCCACAAATGACAGGCGCTCCCCCGTCACAGAACACAGACGTGACAAGGCCGAGCCGCAGAGCTGCTGGGACTCTGTGTGCCCCGTAGGTGGGCTGTCAGCTGGTTGGTGTCTGTCACACACTGGACGCTGAGCCAGCTGTGCAGGAGAGGACGTACCCTCCTGGGACCCACCGCTTCCCACCCGGCCGGGACGTGGAGCACGACGGTGGGAGTCCCGCCGAGGGAGCAGGGCCCGCCCCCTCCGTCTCTTCCTGTCTCCCCACCTTCCTGTCTAGTCTTTCACCCCATTCTTTCCTTCCTTCTTTCCACAAATATGGATCAAGTAGTTTCTATACACCAGTCACTGTGGCTCTACTAGAACAAAACCCTAACCCGTGGGACCTGGTGGGGAAACAGATGGTAAACAAGTGAATACTGACAACTAGATCTACAGATTGTCTGGGGTTACCCGGAGCAGCACCAGGTGCGACCCCTAAGCAGGGTGGTCGTACGACCCGCCTGCCTGGGCCAGTCCTGTCCTGGAGCATGTGTTAGTTCTGTCCCCTTTCCTCTTACAGTGTCTCGGGTTGGGTGATACATGACGCTCTCTCCACTTAAAAGCCACGTGAAAGCGCCGCCTACTGTACCTGGTGTGTAGCGGATCCTCCGCAAACGTTATTTGGATCTGACTCAAATTCACATTTGACTTAATAGTCATTGTGTCCAGTTGCAGACACTTCAGTGCCCCGAGGTGTCTGCCTAGTAGACTGAAATGCATTTCTGCTCCTGACCTGACTGCCACACAGTCATCACAGCTGCTCTGCCCGGAGCTGTCTGAGCGGCCAGGACAGCGTCTGGCTTTGTTCCTAAACGCTCAGTCTTGCTCCTTCTATCCCGGGGGACTTCTGCTCACAGAATCAACATGCAGAGAACAGCAGGACCTCACTGATGGGCTGGGACTCTGTCTGTGACCGTTGTCGTCAGTGACCTCCTTCAGGCCCTGTGCTGGACGCTGGGAACTCTCAGAGCTGGTGTCCATCCTGCAGGACCTCCAGCCAGGTGGGGACAGGAATTTACAGACAGTTATTGTGGGTGCATCTGTGGAAGGAGACACCGGGGTGATGGGAACCCCTAGAAGGAGCCCAACCCGGGAGGCCCTGCCTGAACTGGGGCGTGAAGGATGCCCAGGGCACGGGGCTGTCCAGGCAGAGGCAGCACCTGTGCATCTCATGAGGGTGGCACCTCTGGAGACTGCAAGTCACTCGGTGTAGCTGTCCTGGGGGCAGACAGAGGGACGGAGGGGTTATGACATAGGGAGCAATCTGGATGTTATTCTCATGGGACTGGGGAGCCACCGGCGGACTTCAGGCAGAGAAGTTATGAGGAGAGGGGTCTGGAGGGCCCGCTGGGTGTGCTGTAGGGAGCAGCCTGCAGCTCTTCCAGAGGGCGGGAGGAACCCCAGCGAGGCCTGCTGGGAGGGGAGGTCTGCACGACGCCCATGGTCTGGCTCGGACAGCGGATGCAGTGCCCCTCGAGATGGGAACCCGGGGAACAGTGAAGGTGGGACATGCTCTAGACATGGGCAGGCGTGATCTACCTGACCCGCATGTGCATCTCCTGGAACGAGCTCGTCTGTGTCTGGCAACAGAAGACCTGCTGTCCGTGTTCATGATGTTGCTTCCTTCGAGGGCTGCTTCCCCAGCCCGGGCTCGCTGACCCCTCACCCTCTCAGGGACTTCAGTGAGGACGGCACTGGAGCTCCCAGCACAGCCCCCTGCCGACAGCGCGGCCCTTGTTTACCAGCTGTGATGGGCGGTGCCCCGGGCCAGGCGGTGTCCAGCAGGGACCTGGCTAAGAGCAGGTACTCAGCTCAGCAAACGGGGAAGCAAATCCAGGGCCTCGGTGGCTTGGTTTTCATGAGATTCTCCTGATGAAAAGGCTCCTGCCCACCTCCCCTGGCCCTCAGAGGTCCCGTTCCCACTCACGCTCCGGCCTGCGTGCACAGACCCTCTCCTGGGCCCTCCTGCAACCTGCTGAGGTGGTCCTGTGTCCCAGGACAGAGCCCGAGGTGGCCTCACCCACTCTCATCCCCATGACACAGCTTTCTGGTCATCGGCACTGACCACCACTGGCATCAGCTCTCTGGCTGCCAAGGGCTCCCCAGGCCTCCGTCTTTCCATCCAACCATTCCTTGTTCTGGGGCTGCTCTTAGACATTTTAGTACCTTTAGTAGCGGAGAAGACCAGGGGAACCAGCTACCACTCTGTTCGAGATCCAGGTCTCTCCTTCCTATTCTGATGTTGCGTCTGAGCTCTGCCTCTTCCCCAGGTAATTAGCACCAGAAATGTCATCACCTGTCAGGTGAGAGCTCCCTACCCACAGGAGTTTGGCTTCATCCTGACACACACACCACAGAGCATGACATTGATTTCACATCACACCATCAGCCACACGCCGTCACACAGGAGCACACCCAGGGCCCTCCTGGCACACCTACGTGCAGTGGCAATCTTAAAAAGCCACGCCCACGTATGGATGGGCCTCCTGGGACCACTCGTCTGCCGCTCTGTTAGCATCTAACTGTGTACCTGGGAGGCACTCACAGAGGTGTTGGGTGGAGGTAAATAAAAAAGCAGGTATTGCTTTAAAATGCTCCGGTAACTGATTAGACACGCATCTCTCAGTGTTACCATGTGCGGGACTCAGGTGACCTGGGTCACAGAGATCAGTGGGGCAGGTCTCACGCCAGGAAGAGCTCGCAATCTGATGAGGAGGTCCGACCCTTATGGACAATTCTAATCCAGGGTAGCCAGGAAGACGTGCTATCATCGGGAAAACACAGTGCTGTGGAAACTGGGGCTGGAGAGATGAATCCAGTGTGTGTGGGGGGCGGGCATTGAAGGAAGATTTTTTTTTTTAACATGTATTTGCTGATTTTAGAGAGAAAAGAAGGGAGAAAGAGAAAAAGAAAACCATCCATGTAAGAGAGAAACATTGATCCTCTGCCTCCTACATGCCCCCAGCTGGGGATTGAGCCCTCGCCCCAGGCATGTGTCCTGACCTGGAATCAAACTGGTGACCTTTTGGCGCATGGGATGACACTCAACCAACC